ATCGATTTGGGTTATTTGCGTAGTTGCGCGTTCGATGTCTTTGAACAGTTCTTCTTCTCCTCCTGGTAATTGAATGTCTTCAGGCTGCAATAATAAAATAAACCCTCTTTAATGCCTTGTCAATGCACAGGGTTTAGGGTTTAGGGTTTAGGGTTTAGGGTTTAGGGTTTAGCTGACTGGAGTCCACTTCATGGCGAAGACGCTCAAATGGGCGAGTGCGATATCTCCAAATTCCTACAAAACGCAGAGGGTTTAGGGTTTAGGGTTTAGGGTTTGAGGTGTATGTACACCTCAGCAGCGAGATGAATATAATATTAACAAACCACAAACAAAACAAAAAAAAGAAAGAAGAAGAGGCAGCAATACATCAAAAAGAAGACAGAGGGCAGTCTTTGTTTAATTATTTAAAAAAATAAAGACAAACAGTAAAAGGAGACAGACAAAGAGACACTCGACAGTAGAATGAAGAATAAATAAATAAAAAACAAACAAAGCAAGACAACAAATACAATAATATAGGGTTTAGGGTTTAGGGTTTGAGGTGTATGTACACCTCAGCAGCGAGATGAATATAATATTAACAAACCACAAACAAAACAAAAAAAAGAAAGAAGAAGAGGCAGCAATACATCAAAAAGAAGACAGAGGGCAGTCTTTGTTTAATTATTTAAAAAAATAAAGACAAACAGTAAAAGGAGACAGACAAAGAGACACTCGACAGTAGAATGAAGAATAAATAAATAAAAAACAAACAAAGCAAGACAACAAATACAATAATAAAAGAAGACAAATAAAAAATATTAATAATAATAATAATAAAAGAGGTAAGTCAAGGAGAGAAGCCACGGAGACAGAGAGATGCAGTTAATATAAGCTGTAAATAAATAAACAATAAACAGATAAACATAAATAAACAAATAAACAAACAAAAGCATTAAAGATATTGAATATAAATATATTACCTTTATACACTTCACCATATTTCTTGTGCATGCACGCATCCATATACTCTGAATAAACAGAGCCCAGCCGCTTTCTAACAACTCTAAAGAAAAAGGAGTCAAAGGCAATACTTGTCGCGTATACACCTGAAAGGAGACAGCAAAGGAGACACTTATACACCTCAAACAAATAAACAAATAAACAAATAAACAAATAAACAAATAAATAAATAAATAAATAAATAAATAAATAAATAAATAAATAAATATCTTTATATTACCTCCTTCCCGCTTCTCTCGCATACTTTTTCTTTGAGGTCCGGTGATTATTGCTTAGGGCTAAGATATTAAGGTTTAGGGTTTAGAGATTAGGGTTTAGGGTTTAGAGATTAGGGTTTAGGGTTTACATTTCAGTGTTTAGAGATTGGGGTTTATGTTAAGGGTCTAAAGACTAGGGTTTATGCTTTAGCGTCTAGAGTCTACGGACCACTGATTAGGGTTTAGGGTTTAGGGTTTAGGGTTTAGGGTTTAGGGTTTACCATATATGGTTCTATTCCTTCAGCAGTTTCAAAGAAAGCTCCGCTTTCATGAACGCGACCGAGGGCCCCCAGGTAGCGCACAGCTGTGGGGTAGATATCATTCCCTGGGGTGTATAGGCAGGTAAACAAGCGAAAAACTTTATAAATATTCTTACTTGTTTATTCATGTCTTTAAATGCAATCAAGTCAACACTTTTCGTAACCAAACAAACGCAAAAAATATATACTTACTCTTTTATAAAATGCATCTGGTGCATACAAGAATAAATATATATATATATATATATATATATAGAGAGAGAGAGAGAGAGAGAGAGAGAGACAGAGACAGAGACAGAGACAGAGGGAGAGGAGACAGAAAGAAAGAAAGATAAATAAAAAGAAAAGGAGGGGGAGACAGGGAGACAAACAGAAAGACAGACAAACAGAGACAGAGACAGACAAACAGAGACAGAGACAGACAGAGAGAAGCAGAGACACAGAAAGACAGACACTGACACAGACACAAGCACAGCGAGACAGACAGAGACAGAGGGACAGAGAGATAAAGAGAGACAGACAGACAGAGAGAGAGAGATAAAGAGAGACAGCTCCACAGAGAGACAAAGAGAGACAGACAGAGAGACAAACAAAAAGAGAGACAAACAGAGACAGACACAGACAGATAGAGACAGAGACAGAGATAGAGACGGAGAGAGACACAGAGATAAAGAGAGACAGACATAGACAGAGAGATAAAGAGAGACAGACAGAGAGAGATAAAGAGAGACAGAGGGACAGAGAGATAAAGATAGACAGCTCTACAGAGAGATAGAGACAGAGAGAGAGAGAGATAAAGAGATAAAGAGATAAAGAGATAAAGAGCAAGACCTACATTCTTTAACTCTCGAGAAAGCATTACCAGCATATAACTCTGAACCAGCGAGCAGCTGTCCCCACTGCTGCAAATATTTGTCTTTAGTTATGCTGCCGTACACGCTGACAGCCCAGTAAGCGAACGCTGCCTCGCTCGGGCTTAGCTTTTCAACAACAAACAACAAACAAAAATAATATATCATTTCAAATATTAATAAATATATGCATGCATATATTAATATATTAAAAACAAATATATATATATATATATGTATATGTATATGTATATATATATATATATGGAGTATTATCAATGCAGAGAAGACAGAAGACGCGCACACACGTAGCAACGCCTGCAGCAGCAGCAGCAGCAGAAACAGCAACACCAGGAACAGCAGCAGCAGAAGCAGCAGCAGAAGACAAGGCCGGGATGGAGGCTTGAAGATGCGGTGTGTGGATTAGCGTTTAGGGTTTAGGGTTTAGGGTTTAGGGTTTGATATCCCTCACTAAATAGGGCCCTGCTGGGTCTACGTAGTGCAGCCCCGAGTCATAAGAGTTCAAATACCACCAGTCTTTGTGGCGGTAAGGCTGCAGCGCATGCACCCTAAACCCTAAACCCTAAACCCTAAACCCTAAACCCTAGACTCTGGAGTTTGTTCCTGGTGGTATTAGCCTCTAGGCATTAGGGTTTCCTCGCTAGGGTTTAGGGTTTATCATCCTGTCTCTGGGCCAACATCTCCTATAGGACTATATTCCGTGTGTGAGTCTTAGGGTTTAGGGTTTAGGGTTTAGGGTTTAGGGGGGTCTACACACAACGAATTTTTGGTGTAGGGCTTTGCGTATATCTTTCTGTCCGTAGGGGCCTAAGAAGTCTGGGGCTGCAATATTTAAAATAAAATTTAAAATAATAAAATGAATTTTAGGGGTTGCAATGCCTTTAGAAGTAAATACCCTAAGACGGGTGCTCAGCCACCTGAAGGCAACAACAGCAACACTGCATGCATATACACCCTATGCATGCATGCATGCATGCTTGCATGCATGCACCCCACACTTTACACCGTGAAAGACCTGCCCATACACCCCAACCGCATGCGAAATCATCCCCTCCTATCTCTACGTACATACACCCCAAGCAATCACTATCACTTAGCAACAATAAAACAAAATAAAACAATCAAACAAAACAACTGCATGCAAACAGCAACAAAAAGAGTACTTCATAATACCCAACATAACACGCAAAGACAAATAACTCTGCTGCACTCTCTCTACGTGAGCCTGTCTTCCTTTATTAGGGGCCCCTGGGGCCCCTAAGGGGGGCCCCCTACCACCACCAGAAGGGGGCCCCTCGGGCCCCCTTCTGGTGGTGCTATGGGGGCCCCCCTTAGGGGCAATGTAAGGAATAGGGTTGTGTGTTCGTGTGTATGTGTATGTGTATGTGTGTGTGAGGGTTTATGGTTTAGGGTTTGTGTGGGTTTGGGGTGTATAGGCAGACTCGCGATCAAACAAAGCAACTACTGCAGCCATATGAATGATATAACCAAAGAGAGCAAGAGAGTTTTCATAAAAACCGGCACCGCCTTCTACGGTGGTGTAGCGAAGAGACGGGCATAAATTTCCTAATGACATCGCTGCAGCAGAACCCCCTGCAGCAGCAGCAGCAACAGCAGCAGCAGCAGCAAAAGCAGCAGCAGCAACAGCAAAAAATGACGTCAGTTGTAGCAGCAATAGCACCGACAGCCAGCTTCAACAACAGCAAGAGCAGCAGCAACAGCAGCAGTACAAATAACAGCATACTCATAAAATAGCAACAGCAGCAGCAGCCGGAGTAGCAGCCGCAGCAGCAGGAGCAGCAGGAGCAACAGCAGCAAGAGCAGCAACAGCAGCAGCATTATGAGTGTAGGCGACCTTGTTTATTTTGTGTGTGTGGCAGCTCTAAATCACTGAGGCCGACTCGGGGCAATTGAATGCATGCACCTCCTTCCTCAGTGCGCATGCAGCCACAAGGAACTATACCCCCTGAAGTGCAGCAGCAGCAGCAGCAGCAGCAGCAGCAGCAATAGCAATAGCTGCAACAGAAGAAACACAAGCAGGGGAAACAGCAGAAACAAACAGCAGCAAAAGCAACAGCGACGGCAACATCAGCAACATCAGCAACAGTAGCAACAACAGCAACAACAGCAGCAACATCAGCAACAGCAGCAACAACAACAGCAACCTCAGCAACAGCAGCAACAACAACAGCAAAAACAGCAACAGCAGCAGCAACAGCACCAGCACGAACAGCACCACCAATAGCAGCAGCAGCATCAGCAACATCAGCAGCAGCAACATCAGCAGCAGCAGCAGCAACATGAATATGAGCAGCAGCAGCAGCAACATGAAAATCAGCAGCAGCAGCAGCAGCATGAGCATCAGCAGCAGCAGCAGCAGCAGCAAACAAATGACGTGGCTTCACCGAAGGTGGCTTCATAGATAAATATATTTTCAAGACGCGAAGACAATAAAGCTTCAAGCCCCCGCTTTAGGCTGTCGAGGGCCTTACAAACAAATCATAGAAAAAATAATAATAATATATATAATAAAAAACATTAAAAACAAAATAATACAAAGAAAATTAAAAATATCATACACCCTCGATTGGGGTGTATATGCAACTCTGCTAAAGGTGCACATACACCTGAAAAGCATAATATAAATACTAAACAAGAAACGTTATTGTGTCTGCATGCACTCCAACATACTTGCATGCATACATGCATGCAGAAATCCAATCCATGCATGCAGAGACGAGACGCATGCATGCATGCATGCATGCATGCATGCAGTTTTGCATGCATTTGTGCATGCATGCATGCATGCATGCATTTGAATGTTGTGTGTACTTACCTGTTTTTTTTCGGTTGTCATTTTGACTGCATCCGCAGCAATTGCGAGGTTGGCATAGCGATGCATCAACTGCAACACAACAACACAAACAATATATACCTGCTGCTGCTGCTGCTGCTACTGCTGCTGCTGCTGCTGCTGCGCATTTGTGCATGCATGCATGCATGCATGCATTTGAATGTTGTGTGTACTTACCTGTTTTTTTTCGGTTGTCATTTTGACTGCATCCGCAGCAATTGCGAGGTTGGCATAGCGATGCATCAACTGCAACACAACAACACAAACAATATATACCTGCTGCTGCTGCTGCTGCTACTGCTGCTGCTGCTGCTGCTGCAACTGCTGCTGCTGTTGCTGCTGCTACTGCTGCTGCTGTTGCTGCTGCTTACCCTGACCCAGCTTTGCATGTCATCTGCTTTTTTGTGGAGTTCATCGGAGGCCAACTTCGTATAGCCACTCATATCTTGCTTCAGTGCCCACCTGCAACAATAAACCCTAAACCCTAAACCCTAAACCCTAAACCCTAAACCCTAAACCCTAAGTTGTCTCTAGGGTATTTGCTATGCAATACTGCGTGCAGTGTGGGCCGGCTGTCTATGGAGCGCCTATTCTCTCTGTTGTATGGATGCCTAGCAAAGAAGCTAGGGGAGACAGAGTAGCTAGCTAGCTAGCTAGTTAGCTAGCTAGCTAGCTACTCTGTGTCCCCAGCCAGCCACCCACCCAGATAGTTAGCTAGCTAGCCAATCAGCTAGCTAGCTAGCTAGCCAACTAGCAAGCTAGCTAGCCAACAAGCAAGCAAGCAATCAAGCCAACTAGCATGCTAGCTAGCCAACTAGCTAGCTAGCCAACAAGCAAGCAAGCAAGCAAGCACGCCAACTAGCTAGCTAGCTAGCTAGCAAAGTAGCTAGCTAGCTAAGTAGAGAATTGACTGACCGTATGATTGGGGTCCATCGTTTGTGAAGATTGCGCACGATGTCTATTTGTCTACCAACTGCGTCTCTCAGTGAAAAAGAGTTAAGGTTAGCCTGAGGATAATTTACTAATAAAGCGACTCGGTGACCCTGCACCAACAGCAGCAGCAGCAGCAGCAGCAGCAACAGAAGCAGCAGCAGCAGCAGCAGCAACAGAGCAGCAGCAGCAGAAGCAGCAGAAGCACACAGCAATAAAAGTAGCAGAAGCACACAGCAATAAAAGTAGCAGAAGCACACAGCAATAAAAGTAGCAGAAACAGCAGCAGAAGCAGCGCAAACAGCCGCAGCAGAGGCAACAAAAGCAGCAGAAGAAGAGACAGAGATGAAGGAGACAGCTGCAAGGAGACAGTCTCTCTTGCAAGAGAGGGAGGAGACAGGCTGAAAGAGAAGAAGCTAACAATATAGATATCTAGCTGTATAGCTATATAGCTAGCTAGGTGGCTAGATAGCCGTCGAGATGGGTAGCTATTCGTATACCTAGCTAGCTGCCTATCTAGCTGTCTAGCTAGCTAGCTGCCCATCTAGCTGTCTAGCTATCTAGCTGTCTATCTAGCTGTCTATCTAGCTGTCTGTCTAGCTGTCTATCTAGCTGTGTAGCTGGCTAGCTAGCTAGCGAGCTGTCTAGTTATTTGTATAGCTAGCTGTATAGCTAGTGTAGCTAGCTATACAGCTAGCTGTGTAGCTAGCTAGCTAGCTCCAGCGACGAACTTGTTTAAAAGGATGCATCCAAATGGTGGTGTCATCTCCAACAGCAGCAG